TTTTATTATGTTATTAATGTATTCGTTTCAGGTACTGCCAATAAAGGATATAGTACAAATGTCAAAGGATAGTCAATCCTTGAACTGAAAAGTGAATGTTTCTCACACACACACACACACACACACACACACACACACACACACACACACACACACACACACAGTGTGTGTGAGTCCTAGGAGAAATGGATGCCTGGAGAAAAGGGATAGTCAACAGAACCAATGCAGCCTATAAGTTAAAACTGTGTAAGCAAGTGTGTTTCTTCAGAAAAGTATAAGAGCAAATAGTCTACACTTCACAATTTCTGTCTTCTCCTCTAGGTGCCACTACAATCTATATAAACTATCTTATTATACTTTACAGAATGTATGACTTGTTCGTTAGAAGAAAGAGTAGAATAAAACATTCTGAGGGGTTTTTCATTTGTTTTTGTTTTTTTCTGTTTTTCTTTCATTTTTGGAATCTAGATTATTTTCTTCTGGTTTAGTTTAATTCATCCTAAATAAGGTTTGTTTATTTTTCAGCTTGTTTGACAAATTTTGTTATAGAAAGTGAAAACAATTTGTTTACACATAATGTTAAATATAGTACATGGCAGTATCTACCATCCTTGTTACTTGGATTGAGGGAATACTCTTTAAGTGATGAGCCAAGATTTGGGAAATATTTGAATCTCTGAATAAAAAGAGTAGCCAAATTAAATATAAAATACACTTATCTCTTCACTTATGTTTACAGTTCAATTTGTGCTTAAGTGCTTTACTAAAGGGACATAATCCAGTTTCTTGGACAGAAGGCATCAAGTTTGGTATCTCCCATCCTGACATATACATTGTATGTGTCTTACAGCAATGTTGTATACAAATGTTCTTTTCACCTTACATTCATTAATGTAAGAAAACGGAAAGCAAATCCTCATGTAACTACCACAATTATTGTTGTTATTATTATCATTATTAGTATTAATAATAATAAAGTTAAAAACAAAGGCTTTCTGGAGTATCATTTCCAGCGTGATTGATTGGTCTTTTCAAAATCTGATAATTTTAACTCGATCCTTCTCATTAGATTAATCTATTAGCCTCTTGCTTTCCTACTTTTTTCTTTCTTTCCTTATAGATGCCCCTGTATAGTTGACCCATGAAGACTAATCAAATCCAATTACAACTCACAGTTATGTTTGTAACACCAAGAGTCAGTCACCATAAGAGATTTTTAATAAGGGAGTCGATGTTCTGTTCACACTGATTATATCTACCTACTATGTACACTCACAGAAAGTACAGTCTAGCAGTTAAAACAAAGGACTGGGAGTCTGAAGATGCAAACTTTATTACTTGCTTTTCCTCAGAACATTTTACCTCTCCATGCTTTCTGTTTCGCCACTTGTTAAATTGAGATATTTACCTATTTTTCACTTAGACTTAATTTATTAATGTGTAAGTGCTTTGAGATTCTCAGATAGAAGGTGCTGTGGAAATATAAATAATTACTATACTTGCTGGTACATGGAGGATACATTCAGGAACTCAGCGTCTATCCAGTCAGAGAGATGGGATTTCCTCTCAGCTTCTTCTCTGGCATTTTTAGTGTATGACTTTTAATGTAAGCCTCCCTGCCTAAGTGGGTAGGGTGCCATTTCAGGAAGGCGGGGTGGAGTGTGGAGGGCAGCAGCCATGCATTCTTGGACATGGCTTGCCATTTACCCCATTCCCTGGATGGGGAGTGAGAGGAAAGTGCTTGCATTCCGTGCATGCCTCTCACACACCTGGCTGGTGAAGGGAACTCACCAGCCAGGTGTGTGAGGCATGTACAGAACACAAGCACTTTCCTCTCACTTCCTTAGTGTCCAGGGAATGGGATGAAAAGCTAGCTGCCTCCTATAATGCACAGCTGCTGCACCCCCGCCCTCCCAAAATGGCACCCTTGCTGACGTCCCACATGAAATGCCATAGGTATGAAATCTAAAATAATTCTACATTTCTTGAAATCGAATGAAATCCAGATGGAGAGTTTGTTAAGCAAACCTGAGTTTTTGTAGGTAAATGGGTTCTAATAGAAACTGTAAATAGATTCCTGCAATAACGTGCCTGGTTTGTCTATGAAAACTATCAGGACTTTTTTAGCAATGGGCATGGCTAAAGCTGGATTTGTCATAAAATACTGTATTTGTGAATATTGCACAGTATATCTGAATATGATTTATTAGCCCCCCAAAAAATTGCAGCAAAATTTTTTACATCGGATCCTTACTTACAAACGGGGTGAGGCAACCCCGCACTAGTTGCTTCCCCCCAGCAGAGCAGGGAGACGCAGACCAGGGAGACGCGGAGCGGCTTTTCTCAGCAGACACCTCAGCTTGAGAATAAAGGACTGAGGGAAGTGAGGTGTGGGAAAATAAAACTGAGCTCTGAAGAAATGTTTGGCTAGAGTTTCCCCTACAATATGTACTTGTTCCGACTTGCATACAAATTCAACTTAAGAACAAACCTACAGTCCCTATCTTGTACGTAACCCGGGGACTGCCTGTATAGCCAAACTTGGGGGCGGGATCCTTGGTCACCTCATGCCCCCCCTGGATTTTCTTCATGCCCGCTCCAGAGGGGCACGCCCCCCAATTTGGGAACCCATGGACTAGATGGAACAGTAACAAAATAATATACTCATGGAGGAGAAATTTACCATGGGCCAGGAATTTCATTACAAAGGAGAGCAAAACCCATTTGTCAAGGCACAGACACTAGATCCCATTTTCCAAACCAAAAAACAATAAAACCTAATGGAGTTATCTAAATTTTATCTTACTTACAGACTGTAAAGAGTATTTTCTTAGAGGGAGATATCCAGTCCCCTTCAATAGCTGGAGAGAAAAAAAAACCAGAACAACAGAGGGAAAAACCAAAAATTCCTATGTCCCCGTTTGAAATTCCTACCTACATTCCTATTGGCCAACTCTACCTGAGTTAAATACAGTTAACCCCTTAGTCCCCAGGCTGCTGGTCATCTCTCATGATCATGACCGGGATGAAAGGCAAGCCGCGTCCCAATGCGCACTGCTGCTGCCTCCCCTGCATTCCCGAAATGGCGCCCTTGCTAAGTGGGTAGACTCACACTAGTCATGCTTCAGCTGGCACACTAAAAAATAGCAGTGTGGACATTTCAGCTTTAGTACTCAAGCCCGGAGGGCAGGTTTGAAACCACAAACTGCAGCTCTAGTATTCTATGAATCTATAATTTAGCAAGTCTAATGTAGACCTGTAAATCGAAGGCTGAGAGTAGCCCCTGCCAATGTCTGGTACTCCTTGTTCTGTGAAGAGTCAGGGAAGCCGGTGGGAGCATGTGCTCCTATCAGTATCAGAGGCGTAGCTGTGTTAGTCTGAATCTGCATAAACAATGAGAAGTCCTGTAGCACCTTATAGACTAACAGATTCATTGGAGCATAAGCTTGCATGGGCAAAGACCCACTTTGTCAGACTTGTGCTTCTAATAGCCTCCCACAGTGTAGATGCCACCACAGCTTGGTGTACGGCAGGGGTGGGCAATTATATTTTATGGGGGCATGATTTTGGAAAGTGGCCGAAGGCTGCACTCCTCCATGATATTAATGGAGATGTGGGGCCTGAGATGGAGGTTGGATGCAGAAGGGAGCTTGGGGTAAGGGATTGGGGTGCAGGAGGGAGACTGGAGTCTGAAAGGGAGTTTGGGTGAAGGACGTGGTTGTGACCTAGGGTAGGGGACTGAAGTTCAGGGGTTTGGGATGTGACCTATGGCAGAAGGGTAGTGTGATCTGGTGCAGGAGATTGGGGTGCCAGACCTGGGAGGGGGTATGGCTGTAAGAGGGAGTCAGAGGGTTTGAGTATGTTGAAGGGGAGGAGGGAAGGACTGGGGTGCCAGAAGCAAGCTGTGGCCAAGAGACTTGCCTGCCTGCCTGCAGAGCTAAGGCTTGCAGAGCTTAAAACGTTTCACAGACAGCAAGCCTGCCTGCTTGCCTGGCCATGTACTTCATTGAATAACTGAGCCAAGGAGAGGGGGCATGGTTCTTCTTGGCTGCCCATTATTCCAATAAACCTCTCCCATTGGCTGGTTTTTGGCCAGAAACCAGACAGTGGGATTGTGCTGGGGGTGGGGCGGTTCCTGAAACTTTCCCACTCCCCTCCAGTTTTAAAACAGAAACGGAGCCCTGCAGCCGCATTTCTGCACGGTGTGCGTGGCTGCAGGGCAAGCAAGGGAGCCTTCCAGGGGCTCCCCGCTGCCTCCACGGGCTGGATCCGGTGTCTTGGTGGGTTGGATCCAGCCTGCGGGCCGTATTTTGCTCAGGCCTGGCTTAAGGTAAGCTGAATCCAGCTACACATTTTGCATAGCTGGATGGCAGACCTTAAGGGGACCTGCCTGGCCTAGTACAAACCAGGCCTATGAGTGCTCCTGAATATTAAGAGTCACAATAATCAAACAAAAGGGAACTCTGTCTTGTCCAATAAAACAAACAGTACTACACAATATTCAGTCTTTCTGTCATTTTCATTGTGTCCTCTTTTTTGTTTTAGGGATGTAGAGTAATAGTTGGCTTATTTAGTTCTTCAGTAGTAATGGTTTATTTTTTTGGTTGTCTTCATGCATCTGCTTACTGAAGTAAAGACACCTTCCATACTTCCATATTGTATCATATACACTTAGCTAAGTTAGAAGTTTTTACTTGCAATTCTGGAAATGAACAAGCTACTGTTTAAAGTTATTTGTTCACCTGTTATACCTTCCAGAGTGAACCCTTTAACTCCTCTTGCTTGTATTGGAGTTTGCATGTATGGGTCATTAATTTGCTCTTTGTGTTTGTCTATGTGCCTTAGAGAGTTGATAGTCCAGTTGTGAAACAAGTTTTTCTATAGTTAATACACTATCATTTATAGTGTGATGATTTTGCTTTCTGTATGCCTTGTACAAATTTCTCCTGCTTTTCAGTATTTTTACAGGACAGATTTCTATCTTTGTATATCCTATAGAAGTTGGGTGTAAAGAAAAACTGCCTTAAATATTTATTGGGAACGAATCAAAATAAACATATGTCTGCTGAAACTAGTGAATTTACAAAAACTCCTGTCTTAAATGTATTTTTCCCAAAAAACTTCATGTCTTCTACTCTCTCAAGGATTTTTTGGTGCTATGACATCTTAATTCTGTAATTCATAGATATAAGGCCAAATTTAATGCTTATGCATTAAACAGACAGTAGCAGGAACATATGGTATCAGTTGGTTATCTCTGTTTTGATTCCTCTAGATTCTGTTCTGTGTTTTAAGCATAATGGGGATTATGAATAGAGGTGGCTGTACATAGGATTAGAATGCAGGTTCATATAAGCAATAGTTTTATGGAGGTGTGGGGAGTGTATCTTAACTATCTCAAAATTTGGGAGGCGGACTTAAGATATTTATCCCTACATTAACTAGAATTTGAGCTATACTAATAATTAGACAACTCTCTTTTATTTAATCAATTTCATGCATAAACTCGGTTCTTCCTCTTATTACAAAAACAGTAGATTGAAATTAAAAAAAAAACGAAGCCCCTCTAAAACTCATATAAAATTTGAAAGTTTGTCTCCATCACAAACTGAAGTCAGTCCAATAAAATATATCTAATATTCTGCCCATATAAATTAAAAATGGTGTTTTGAGAACTAGGATGCATTTCCTTGAATGTCAAGTGCTAAGCCCAGATCTCAAACTTCTGTATATGCTGGAAATTCTGTTCTTACACTGTGCTAGACATCAACACTTGTATTAAATGTCAAAATTATATATGAGGGCATCTGTCTGTCCATGAGTCAGTCTGTCCATCCGTGAATTTAGTATACAGCTTCTTCTTCTCATAACTTAAAGCAAGGTAAGGGTTTGGTTGTGCCAGAAAAATGATATATCCCTGGAATGG